TCGAGTCCTTGGCTTGGGTAAAAAAAAAAAAATATCTGTAAAGATCTTCTGACAGCAAAACAAAGCAAAACAGCTAGAAAGCTTGGAACCTGCACACATCGTTTCTGTGATCTATTCTTTATGTTACAGATGACAATCCCCAAAAAATCAAGGGAATAAGAAAATACACACATTAGTCATTCAGTGCATTAGTAAAGTACTGCTGAAATATTGATGCTGTGCTTTTCTATACCGTACTGAAACTTCTCAGTGCGGCATCTCGGTTTTACTTAATTCTTTCAGAATCCTGTATTGCTGCCATTTTACAGCTGGGCAAGGCTGGAATACTGGCAAACACAATATTTTAGGCAATTTTACAAAGTTCCTTACACCAGAAAGCACAAAGTTTCAGGTCGCCGGGCTCCCGCGAGCTCGGCAGACGCTGCGCCTCGTGCGTGGCCGGCGAGGCACCGCTGCTTCGAAAAGGCTGCCAGCCTGTGCCTAAGGTCACGTAGGGCTCAAAGCGGGTCCTGGGGTATCCGCTCCAGCTAGCCAGCTGGCACCTGGGGGGAATGTGCACAAAAAGGAGCTCTGTGGCTTTTCCCTGGGATTTAGGGATCCGACTTCTATTCTGCAGAGAAGCTCCTACTTGTCAAAGTTAGAGGCCATTCAGATTCAAGGACCTATTCACTTCTGCCTCTCCTCCACAGGCGCAGGGCACTTTCCCTTCTAAAGGAAGCAGCCACAGAAAGCTTTAAGCTAACAGCCGAGTGCTGAATCCAGCCAGGAAGTGGGAGACCCAGGGAATGTGAAACCAGCTTTCCTTCCTCCCAGGAGCATGTCTTAATAAACAGGTTTTAGGCCGTTCTGTTTAGGACCGTTCATTCCGCATAGCTTCAGAGAGAATCCATTAAAATGTGCTACTGCTATTCTAATTTTTTTTTTTTTTTGCTGCCTCCCTTGCTTTGTTCTTGTACCCATTTCAAGCAGTGCCACTTAGTTTCCTGCTTACAATTTTGGTAACTTAGTGCTTTAGACCTAAATTTTCAATATGTATGCCTGCCTCAGGATGAATTAGATGAGAAAATTTCAGCTAAATGTCTTTGGTTAAGCCTTAAGACATATATTTTTTTTCTCAAATTAAGTAATAGCAATGTTTTCTGTGGGATTTCAGTTACTTTGCCGTAGGACCTTGAAATGTCTTAGAGCTTGGTTCTTTGAATCTGGGATAGTATTTTGCCACGTTGTAAGAAAATCTTCCCTATTAGTGTCTCTGTTCTCCCGAATCTTGCCCTGTGTTTGGTGTGCGGCTTCTTCAGCGGCAACGAACGCAGCAGAAATCCAGCGGCTCTCGCTGCGTCACCCTGTATCATCCCCACAGCCAACCCGACCAATACAGCATGGAAGGAGGTGCATGGGAACAGCAATAGGGGAGTACAGGAAAGCTGGTTATGGATACAGTCTTTAAAACACCTCCACCAAGGGCTTGACTTACGATTCCACAGTGAATTTTGCAACTTGTAGGATTTGAGTTCACAGCCTTAGCAATATTATTGCATCATCTTTTGAATGTTATTACATATGGAATAGCCACTATTTAAAAGTGCTTTCAAGTAACAGAAATTACGTGGTATCCCATGTATTACAGCATTTGAAAGATTTACTATGGAATCTAAAGCTGTAATTACAGGAATTTTAGTTTTGATTATGACCATACCATAAAATAAAGGAATCCAAAGAGAACACACACTGTAGCTCATTTACACACACACAACATAAAATACCACTATTTTACACCCCTTTTGGAGCCTTAAAAAGTATTCCTGTAGCACACCAAGTAAGTTGGTTGTGTAGCCATTTTCTTATCGCTCAGTTCACATCTTCGTGTTTGCTTAGGCACAATTAAAGCTACGGAATATATGCATGATCCATAAAGGCAAACAGTACACTTAATTAGATATATTTCATGACTAAACAAAGCTGGTTAGGAATTTCTAGCCTTGCATAACCCTAACAGAAATCAGACCATGTATTAGTAGGGAGACATTTTGCACCATGTTTATAAAGTCAAAGACCCGTTTAACAGCTCATAAGAACAGAGATTCTCATTTGTTGTTCATCTTGTCTCCAGGCCTCCAGAATAAGAAAGAAAACAAGATCATATATCAACGCCTTCCAGAATCTTTACGACTTCCTTTTATTCACAGCAGTTAAGAGTAAGCGGAAAATATGTTTAATGTAAAACAAAGCAACTTATTCTGCCAATGCCAACCTCTACTTTCACTCTTTATTAACTGTTCATTGAAGAAAAATACTGAACCCTCTGGGGGCCCTGAGCACTACTGGCAAAGGACCCTCCTAATTATTTCTTACACAGAGGCAGGAAATTACCTCTCCAGACACTGGATATGAGAAAATATTAAGAAATTTTTGGGTTGGTGTTAACAAGGACACATCTTCCAAGTTGGCAGTAGGAAAAACCCATTTTAAAACCATCTCTTTCCATTCTGCATCAATGAATACATGTAAAATGCCAAGGGCGACAAAATACACAAAAAGTTGCATCGGGTGAAGCTGAGGGAGATCTGACAAACCTTGTGCTACAGAATTTAAGCCCATGTTTCTAACTCTACACTACATTTCCAAGCTCACAGCACTCAAATAAGCGGAAGAAAGGCCAGACTTCAGAAACTCCAGAGCAAAGCTTCAAACCATATGGATTTGTCAAGACTTTATGGCACATAAACTACATAAAAGTACAATGAAAAATATAGAACATCTTCACAAACACACAGGAATAGATGTGAAATGAAACAGTAAGGTTAAACCCCTGCTACTGACACACAGGAAATGCTCTTTCAGAAAAAAAAAAAAAAGATGTGATGTTAAAGATGATTAAAGATGATTAAATTAAATGAAATTATGTTGTTTGACTGCTTGTGCTTTTTTTTTTTAATTTCACTTGAAAAACTGCTCTAAGACTTGCTCAAGTTCTATGCAATTTGCTAGATGCAATCTCTTTTTTCACCTGAGAGAATAACCAATCAAGATTATTTTGATTTCCATATTGGAATATATGTATTTATTTAACAGCTGTTGCTTTGAATCTTCCCTTTTCCAACTTCTACTTAGCTCCACTCTCCTATTTCCCCTCAGGCCACATGTCCAAGCCCTAGACCGCCTGGATCACTATCCATTGGGCCCCCTCCAGTTTCTCAGTGACCTCCCTGCATGGGGGAATCCAAAACTGAGCCCTCCAAATGCAGGCTCTCAATTCAATGAATTACAACCCACTGAGCAGAAATTTGGAAAAACACTCTAGCTTCAGAGGTGCCCCTCTTATCACTTTGGAATAAACATTCCTCTTTTTTTTTTCTCTCTCTGAAAAAAAGTTCTTGTCCCCAGGTTAGGTATTTCAAAAGTCCTCGTCTATATCTCACGACTGAATAGCTTCTAATAATGTTGTTTTTTCTTCTCTTCAGAAATATCTACCTTCTGTGACCTTCGGCAGCTTTTTATTGAATATATTGTAAAATGGTGTGGAAGACCAGACCACTGTCATGCAAACATACCTGTTTTAGGATGTCTTCATTTTGCACTCTATGAAGTTGCAGTCCTTTCCCTGACTAGATGCTAATCTCAACCTCAGCATAAATCTGCAGCCATCTACCTCAGGGCTTCAACACAAAACTCACGTAGAGCTCAGCCTCTCAATCCAGTACTAACTTCAGTATCAGGAATGCTAGCACTGCTCATACACTTTTATTTGCAATAGGATTGACTTCTCTGCCCAAAAACATTTTGACCATAGACTGACTATCTTCAAGTTTGGGAAGGCTGCCTCTGTGTTGGAGATTTTTGATGTGCATTGCCTCACAAGAATTAAACTCTTTGGGGTTCAGATTCAGTTAGCTTTTGATATAGGTATTTTTTTCTGTCATAGTCTCTAATGTCCCAAGTTAGAGTGGAGGTCACTGTTTTCAACAAGGGAAATGGCTGAATGTACATTTTTGACTACATGCAGCAAGTCACCAATTTCTCCTCTAAAAAAAACAAAACAAAACAAAACACAACCCTGATTTGATGGAAGACACTGCATTGGGACAAAATCTTGTAATGCATTGATTGATTAGGAACTGTTAAAGGAAGATTGTTTAGATGGACAATGACAAAGCATCTTCTTCTTCTTAGAAAATAAAAAGTTCAGAATCCTTCAACAGTTTGAGTGACACATTATTCTTTTTCCTTTCTTTTCCTGCTTTTTTTTCTTCATACTCATGTCCTATTGATTAGGTCTTATTTTTACCTCTAGAGAAAAATACCTTCTAGGATGCAAATACAACGTGACCTCAGTTTGACTGCCTGTGTATTTATTTATGTTCTGACTTCAGTGTTTTGGAATAAACACTAGACGAATGGAACACAAATTAAATTAAACTCATCAAAGGCATAGCACTAAAACATGAACTTAAAATATGAGGGAACACACATAGTCAGAAGGAATTGTTCCTTGGTTGATCCTTTTTCTTTTCTCTGAATGTATTGTAAAAGATGTTTCGTTACTGAAATAACATTTTGGCTTCTTTCATGACTGCAAAGAAGAGTAATTAAAACTGTCAAGAAAACACATTGAACAGCTGTATATTGTTAACAAAAGCACCATTATATCACACTCTTGGAAAAAAAATTGCAATTTAAACATTCACAATTCCTAGAAGTTAGATATTCTTCCAAGCTCCAGTAAGATAACATTTTTTTCTCCCCTGTAAATCTTGGTTGTGTACCAGTCATATTTTGAACTAGCAGCATGTTCTAGTTTGTAAATAATTCCACACATTTAAGGAAAAGTAGATGATGGTAGCAAATCTCTGCTGGCTGAAAACTGAGTCAATGAGATTTTTTTAGCTACCTTTAAAGCTGGGAATAAACATATTCTTACACTGTGGGTATACTCGAAAACCACCTGAAGGCAGAATACTCCTTCCAGTTTGTACTGGGCAGAATCATTAAGGAATACTTACTCATCGAAGATCAGGTCTGGAGCAAAATAGAGGAATTGGCTGTTTGTATGTTTGTACGATCTCCAACTCAAGGCAAACGATGACAGACACATCCATGAATACTGAATTAGAGTAATTTGGTCCTCGAGAGGCAAGTTTCTAAATCCTAGAGAACAAACAGAAAATACACATGAACTATGCTGGGCTCTACACAGGGTTGGCCAAACCAGCACAGAATATATAATTTACTCTGCCACTAAGGAACGAAAGGAACACTTCCACAATGTGTATTTATGAAAAAACAAACTCAGTTTTTCATCCTGGTAATATAACATATTTTCTTCACAGGAGGCTATTATTTAAAATTTAGGCTGCGTAAGTATCAACCACAGACATAGGCAATGAACATTGGATTGATCACAAATGCAATAATCTTCTATCAGATGTCCATCTTACTCCCCATACGTGGGTTTTCAACACAGCCCACAGACTAAAGATAAAATTTGTCAGGCAAATAGTACACTGAGCTACCAGGGAAACTGAAGAGAAATTTCACTGAATGAAGCCCATTCCTACCTGGAAGTATCTTTGCCCACTTGACCACCTGAATCATTTGCTTGCCAGCCAGGCGGTTCAAAGTGGAGAGCAGGTACTCTGCTGTATCTGGTTTTGAACTATCATATCCTGCATACACAATCTCTGGTTCGATGCTTTCAAGGATCTTAACGGGAGAGGGAGTAAGTGCTGGTGAAATAGCAGACATGTGAGGAACAAGTGCTGTGTTTACAGATGGCTCAGTTACTGGAGCAATGTACGTAGTCCCTTCCTCTGGGCTCTGGGGGGGCGGCTGTTGTCGCTGCTGCGGCTGCTCGTCATGCATCCCTTTCAATTTCCCCAACTTTTTGGACTTCCGGGCTGCAAAGATAAACAGAACAAAACCCAAAACCCAAGTCAGTGAGAAGCCCTGAGTAGTCCTGGCTTTTAGAAAATCAGATCAGAAGCACCATCTCAAACTTTCCGAGTGAAATAGAATGCAGAAATCACCAGAACCTTAAGAAATGTGTCACTGCAGCAGTACTCTTACCCTGGAGAAAGGGCCAAAGAAACACACAAGCTGCCTTTTGATCCCTCACTGTATGTGAATGGAAAATAGTGCCAGTAATCTGCATTTCTCTCTGTCTCTATGCAGATATGCACATAACGGCCTTGTTACTGTGGTCGTGCTGATTAAACATTTCAGAAGTTTTATTTGTTTTGGAGCTTGCATGAATCATTTATCACCTACAAGTCTGTAATTCACATTCTCTGCTGCACTTGGTAATCAAAAGAAATCTCACTGGCAATGCCTAAAATTAGTAGACCCGGAGCCCTCCGAAGCTTTTGAGTCCTCATGCACACCCTGGCTGTGCCTCAACTGCAAATGTAGTCAGTCCGTTTTGAACAGTCTGGTCTAGTCAGATCCCTTTGCTTCTGCTGCTTTCATACCTCCTTAACAGCTTCGTCCTCTCTCTTGGCTAGTTTTGAAGGAACTCTATGAATATTTAACCAAGTAAAACAGAAAATATGGAGCCTTGTGTGACACCTCTCTCACTGCTATCAACATTTTTCTAACGATTTGCCTCCTTCCTTTTTTTTTTTTTTTTTTGGTGTGTGTGTGTTGATGCTACCCTCCCTATTTTTCTTACTCCGTGTTCTTGGAAGACAGCAATGCCAGCACGCATCGACTCTTTGCAGAGATGCCAGCCTTTCTCTGTGGGTTCCCTTCCCAACATTGCCATGTGAAGCACAGATATGTAAGCAGGCAGAAAGCCCTGCTTCCTCCCCGGCAGAAATCTCTTGCGGTATGAGAGAAGAATGGGAAATAAAGACCAGGACAAGTAAGTAAAACAAGCAAACAAAGAGCCCAAGAGCATGGTCAGATGGTACCCAAGGGCATAGCGTGAATGCTTCTCCCTCGTTCTAGTAGCTTATTGACTAGTCTACACTTTTGAGCTCTAGGAAGTATTTTCCATTGATTTCAATGGATGGAGAAAAAGTTTTTATTCATTTTATTTTTTGTATTTAATTTTAGGTCAAACTTCTGCATTGGTAAAAATATATTTTAGCACAATGCTTCTCTCATGTTTAGGGTATATTTAGGGTAACCAAAAGAAGCAACACAGCTTGCTCTGTATGATTGGCCCTGTTCCATCTACCCCTCCAGCATCATGGCTTCTATCTGCAATTAGGGTCACCCCAGGATCCAAGGTCCCTGGACTGGCATCACATGAAGCTGGCCCCTTCCAGCACTGGCAAGTTTCCTGGGCCCACAGCTCCCTGGAAGAGACAGTGCTCAGGACAGTGCCACAGGCTGTTCCTATTACAGGCTCAGGGTTCTAGGGCCATAAGGGATTGCTGTGATCATGTAATTTGGCTTTTAATCAGCACTGGCCAAATATCCTGGTGCCATGTTAAACACAGCGCGAACTAGAGACAGTGACACCCCCTTACGGGACATGGAGTGAAAGGCACCAGGGAGCTGAACCCTCTCCCATACCCCAGCAAGCAGTCAGAGTGAGCATGTGCTTAGAAACAGAATGCATTAAAACCATAGAAAAGGTAAGTAAAGCAGTCTTTAAAATCCATAAATAATGAACTACATTTAACTGTTGACAGCTCCTTCAGAGTAACTGCTCTCAAATACGTACTTTGTTACCTATCTATATGCTGCTAAAATTCCTGTCTGGACTTTTATCTTCCTGTCTCTTGATTATTGCAACATGCCTTTTATGGGCATCAATAAACACAGCTTATCTCTCTCTTTCGAGAACACTCCTGCAAACATCCTTAGTCCATCCCTTGTCCCAAGTCCATCTTCTCTAGCTTTCCCCCTCACCAATTCCCCTCCCTGTTTCCTATCTCGTTAAATGAAGGCGCCTTTTCTGCATTCAGTCTGGCCAACCTCAGTCTCTCTTCTCCATTATCAAACTGTTGGCTTCCACCTCAGCTCCGCACACTACGCCAAGACTTCCCAGGAAGTTTTCAAAACAAGCGCTTTGTGCTTGCTGCTATTTCTCTTACAATGTCTGTGAATAAAATTTCCCATAAAGATCCACGCTACTACTTCATTTTCTTCCTCACACTCCACCTTTTTTTAGGAAAACCTCATCTACAGGCGAGCTGCTGCTGCTCTTGCAGGATCCTGGCTTCCCAGGGCAGCTGTGGGTGTCTCGGTTTCCGTAGGATTGCCGGCCAGCCAGCCAGGACACACGGGGCTCAGCACAATGCCCGCCTGAGCACAACAATAGCCTGTTGTTCCCCACACTTCCTTATTATCCACAGCACCTTGAACTCTCTGGAGCCGGCTCACCCCGAGTTCCAACGAGCGCTTGTTTGGCGGAGAAAATCCAGGAGATTGCTGTATAAAATAGTAATGTTTCACTATAAAATAGCAATATTTAATGTAAACATTCGCTGCCGTGGTAAGGAATTATATTCAGGTTTCGAAGATGAAAGGCAAACAAAGCTGTTTGACCGAGCTCCTTGCAGGCCCTGCCTGTCGTTGGCGAGCGCCGCGCCGGCCGCGCGCGCGCGAACGTCACCTCAGCGTCATGCCCGCGCGCGGCCGGCGGGACGGCGCCACGGGAGCAGGAGCTTCCTTGAGGCTTCGGCATCCCCGTAGCTCTATGGAGCACTCCGGAGAGCTCTCTGCAACTTCTGCTCTTTCAAAACGCTGGGCACCAGTTTATTAACTTGTCTACAGCGTATTTTGGGGCTTGCAACAATTTCATAGTTTCTCTATGCTTCTAAGTAGTCAGACCAATTGAGGCAGGCTGTATTTTTTAATACAGGAATTAAATATGCAAACAAAACCGTACCAGCCCAATTCAAATTTCTCCGTAAATTCTATGAATTTTTCATCCATGTACTTTTTAACAAAGACTTCCTAATAACCTGGAAGTGACATGTTAGAACAGACTATGTTAGGGAGACACTGCAGTCACCATCGTTGGAGGTTATAAGAAGGGGGGTTATAACAAGTGAGACAAACAGATGTCAGGAGAAGCTTTGCTACACCTGATTCTGTCTCGAGGGACAGGGCAGATTAGAAAGCCCTTCAGAGCCCCTTCCTATTTCTTACTTTCTATCCTGAAACTCTTAAGAAAGCTCATGCGGACAATCTGGCCTGCTCCTTCCTTGCACAGCTGCAGGATTTGTCACCCTCTGCTGCACTGAGCTGCATGGACGCAGACATCCCTTCTTCAAGAGGCAATTTCTGTCCTTAGTACCCAAAAAGCCATTTTACAAAGCAGCAGCTGATCAGACATTTTGTTAAACAAGCTTTCCCCATGCTGTAAAATAAGACGCAGGGGGGTACGCACAAGGCAAGGCAGACAGCTCTCGAATTTAATTCTGAGAAGTAAGTGAAAATGCACCATTTGCTGCAGTTCTACCTACAGGACTACATACAGGGAAACCACAGTATTAAACATAGTTTGCATTTACCTTAGAAGGGCAAAGCTGAACTTTACACTAAATCTAAATAAAACTAAATCCCAAGAGCAAAGCGAGGATGGCCAAGTTCAGTGGAATACTTGATAAGTTAACAGAGCTGTTGGCCACTAAAGAAGAGTTTAAAAATAAAGCCTGAAGGAGTAGATAGAGATTAATGTTTGCTGTTGTTATTCATTAAGTTTTATCAGGCCCTATTTTTTTCTGTTATCAAAACAGGACTAAAAATAAAGAACTTTACATATCTTTCATGTTTGCAGAGGGAAAAAAAAAACAGAATAAGAAATGTATTGGTTTAACAACTCTATCAAGTATCCAGCAACACAGATAACTGATTACATGCTATTAAGCCATAATTTTTATGTTCCATTCTCTATGAGTTTTTCATTAAAAGAAAAGAAATAACATTCTTCCATGTATAACACTGGCATAAAAATGTGTTTTAGTTTCATTTTCTTCCATTATAATGCCTTTAAAATGAAGCTGAGAAAAACATTACTGCTTGACAGTCATGTTTACAGTGAAGAAAACTGTATTTTTCATTTGGCTTCACGCCAGTGCTCTAGCTCAACTGGTTTGGTAACTCCCACAGAAACCAACAACTGAAGATTAAATACAAGCTCAGAGAAGTGCTCTTGAGTTTAGCTTTTGAAGGTGTTTTTCACATTTCCTCACTAATTGGAATAGCAGCTGAACCAAAGCTGAGAAATCCCCCTCTGGTAAGAGGGGGGAAGAAAGCACCCACCAGAAATGCCGCTCTGGTGCTGGAGGTTGTTCGGAAGTGCCCAGCAGGGCTCCCAAGCCCCCGCGCACCCGGACGAGCGCCGAGCCGGCCCCACGGCCCGGAGGGCTCTGTGTTTGCTGCAGCCCCAGCTGTGCCAAGACCTGCCCCTGGCGCTCAGCATTTAGGAGGGCAGAAAACTCTCCTCCTTTTCCATGTTAACCAGTTCATTGCTGGGGACATGCTGGGGAGAACTGACACGGGCAAACTCCTGAGACGCTGTGAGAAAGCGTTCGGGAAGAAATATAAAATTTCATGTTGCGCAGCTTCAGCCTGTTGAGTGATTTGGGGCAAGGATGAGACCTTGGCCGCAGCGCAGCCCGGGCCTGCACATTATCATCGCTAACACAGGACTTCTTCCATCTGGAACTCAGTGTTATTAGAGCCAGGAAACAGCACTGTAATTCCTGTACTTTAAATCATCTGAGATCAGTTACGGTTGGAGAAAAACAAAAGTAGTGAAAGGCGCGCTGCAAAGACACCTCAGGTTAACACCTTAAATATCTGCCGGGTTTTTTTGCGTAAGCCTTTTAGAGGGTCTTGTATACCACATAGACAGAGAACGAAACGAAATCAGGTGAAGTATCTGAAAAGTAACATGTGGCTGGACTTTCAAAAAGCACATCCAACAGATGTTGCCTGT